TCTTTCCAGGCTTGTAAACCAAACCAAGGACCCAAGTAAGACTAGTGACCTACTGAAGTTCAGTCTCGGTGAATGTTGGTCTTACCGAAGATGAAAATCCGAGCTGAACAGCAGGGGGCAGCAGAGAATGTCATCTCTGCCCAAAGGCACAGTTTAGGGAAGGAGGGGCTCTAGGCATCTTCTGCTGAAAAAGGCAAAGCTGGGAAAACCTGTCTAACAAGTTCTGTGACAGACCCCTCTCTCTTTCCTGTGATGATGGGGAACAGAGAGTGTTTTAGGAGCCATTTCCTCTGAAATGGAAACCTGAAGGAAACTCTGACTCAGTACTTAGGGTAGGACAGTGCCCAGGCACAACAGCCTGCCCTGGGACTCAATCCTCTGACTCCCACACAAGTGGAAAGCTCTTAGGGCCCCACACTCGCATCCAGAGCATTCAGCCTTAAGAAACGCAAGGCTGTTTGTTTCAGAGTCACCAGAATGGTGACCTAGCTGATCCAACCCCTGTTCCTTTCGAGTCTTTAAACACATTTATGGATTCTATAAGTCTCCTTAGAACAAGCCAGATGTTACATCAAATAAAAACTCTGGCCATTAGCCCGGCGGGGCGTGGCTCAGCGGTTGAGCTTCGACCTAGAATCCAGGCGATCTGGGTTTGATTCCTGGTCAGGGCACACGCCCGGGTTGTGGGCTTGATCAGTGACTCTCTCATCATTGATGTTTCTATCTCTCTCTCTCCCTCTCCTTTCCTCTCTCTGAAATCAAAGTTTTTTTTTTTTATTTTTTTTAAACCACAACTCTGGTCGCTCTAATTGCCAGTGGTTAATACAGGAAAGTGAGACTGAAAGCCATCCTGGTCACACTGCAGTGGATGGAGGTAGACTTGGGTCCCTACTGACACACCTCAGGGTCCTGGGAGGCCCAGGCTCTCTCTTCTCTTTATTGCCTTTGATCAGGTTGGAAAGGAGGACCCTGACCCACAGGGTTCCCTCTGACCTCGAACGATGGAGGTAACTGGAAGGAGAAATGTATTTTGTTTCTCTGGAGGCCTTTGGGGGGAGAGGGAATGGGGAGTTGGTATGAAGTTTTAGTTTTGCAAGATGAAAAATTTCTGGAGCTGGAAGGTGGTAATGGTTGCTTAGCAACGTGGAGACTCTTAATGCTGCTGAGCTGTACACTGGAAAAATGACTAAATGGTGAATTTTGTTATGTATATTTCACCACAATTAAAAACACAACAAAATGGCCTGCCATTCTCGGCCATCCTGTGCGGTGACTCCCAGTCTCCCTTCTTTTCCGGCACTGCGGTGGGCCACTCCTCCTCCTACCCACCTCTGCCCCTCAGCCAGTTGCCCCTAGAGGAGAGACACTGGTCGCTGCGTGCAAGCTTCAGAGCGAGTCACCACGACCTTTAAGGAGCCAACACTGGGACTTCCACTGGCAGTGGGGATGTGCAGGACTCAGACTCATTGGGAAGAGGTCCCAGTGTTTCCAGGACATCACAAGATACTTACAGGAGGCCCTGGCTCCTTCTAAGGTGGTCAATGCGTTGAATCTTTTCTGTTTGATCCTTTGAGAGCAGGACTTACCAGCTTCTTCTCCCTACACATGGCCCCTCTTGCCTATCTAGGCCAGCCTTGGGGTGTCCACTCTGGATTTCAAGTGGGCCATTGCCTCTCCGAGTGTCCATTTGCTCTTGGCCCCTTTACATTACTTCCAACAGCACGTTTGCATTTCATTATGTGAAAGGAGACAGTATAGTCGGGTGGTTAAGAGACAGGCCTTTCTACCCTAGCTGGTTTTGCTCAGTGGTTAGAGCGTCGGCCTGTGGACTGAAGGGTCCCGGGTTCCATTACAGCCAAGGGCACGTACCTCAGTTGCAGGCTCAAACCCTGGCCCGGGTCATGTGCAATCAATCGAAGTGTCTCTCTCACATCTATGTTTCTCTCTCCCTCCCCCCCCATTTCTCCCTCCCACTATTTCTAAAAATCAATGGAAAACATATCCTCAGGTGCGGATTAACAAAAAGAAAAAAAGAAAAACCACATTGGCGTCAAAGGCAGACTTGTTAGTGGCTGGCAGCCTGGACTCAGGAGCCAGACGTGACCTTGGGCAGGTTATTTGGTTTCTCTGTGCCTGTTTTCTCCTCTGTGAAATGGGAATAATAATAGCAATCTATATTATAGAGCTGTTACAAGGGTCACATGCTTGTAAACTTCCTGCAATAGAGTGTTTAACATGCAATCTACACACATTCAGGGTCCGATAAGTATTAACTACTATTGTTTGTCATCAAGAAAATGAGGCTGCAAAAAAATCCCAGAATGCATGACAAAATCTATGGCTAAAATGGTCGCCCAAAATAAAATTGAACATACACTTAATAAAGTCACTTTATAAAGGCTAAGATAGATTGCAAAACAAATATTTTAGTACCCTAAAAGAACTAAAGAATATCCACAAAGTTAATAAAAAATTATAGAGAAATGTGGGATCAAAACAAGAATAGGTCAATATGAAAAAAATCATATGAACATTATAGACACTTCTCACAATATTCTGGCTTTTTGGTATAAGCAATGAAGGCCTGCTATTTTCAATGAAAGCATTCCCATCCTCTCTAACCCTGTTGAATTATACCTTAACAGTCAGCCAGTCTTTCAAGGGAACTATTTTTGTTATATACTGATCAGCCCAGAACTTAGAGAAAGGCATCAAGCACAAAAAAATGGGGGCCGAGGAAAGGACAGAAGACCATAAGTTATTGATCTGGCCTCATGTGTCTCCTCCACCACCCCTACCCTGTGACATTTACCACCATCTAATGTCTCACATCTAGAATACCCATGCTGGCACCCATCAGTCTTGATTATGTGTGGAAGAAGTGGTCAAATAATAGCTAGAGGGAAGATTACACTGAAAACTCAACCCTGATGAGCCAAGTGCCCCAGTTCCCCTCCGTGTCTTCATTATATTGTTTAAAGGCCAATGAAGATGACGTAGGAGTCATTTCCATCCCTATGCAAAGTGGTCTGCAGTGTTAACATCAGAGTCCATGGGGGGGG